GGACTAAAGCAGAGTCCTTTTTCTAACCAGAGCAAAGATTCCTTGGGCACTGCAGCCCCATAACTGGGCTACTGAAGAAAACAAGGCTGTGTGCAGAACCAATTCTGGGCATGACTTGGGGTGGGGGCTGGTTTGCAGGGACACAGCCATTGAGTCAATAAAACTTTAGGTCCTGAGCCACCAGGGGAAGGAGGTTGGCCTGAAACCCAGGACACACATAGAATCAAATAGAGCCAGTTTTTTGTGCACACGGCCTCACATACATGAGTTTGCAAATACACAATTACAATGTCACGTGTACCCAGATCTGCCACAGCTGAACCCAACTATAATTGGGCACTATGCATGCAGGCTGTCCCCTCCTCTTCCCCCCAACTCTCTGGCTCAGCCTCCCTCCTCCTGCCCCCCAGCCTCACCAGTCTCACTGGTGTCTAGTCCCAGCTCCACCATTCAGCTCTTACCCACGGAGGCTTCCTGCTTTACTGTGTGAAAATCCAGATGGCCAGGCTGATTGAGCACAGCATCAGGACAAGGCAGAGGCCCAGCAGCATCCACTGTCTTTTAACAGTCTGGCAGGTTCCATGGCTCTGCCCAGGAAGTAGGCATTGGGCAGTGGGCTGAATATCTCAGTGTCTTGGGTCAGTGACTGTTTTTCCAGGGAGTGCAGCCTGCAGGCCAGCCCTAGCACCACCAGAGACATGACAAAGCCCAGGGCCAGCAGCACCCAGTACCCAAATTTAGCCTGGTTGGGGTCCAGCTTCAGATTCAGGAATGTCACTTTGTCTGTGTCTTTTTCTGTGAAAGACATGGGAGTATCATAGGGCAGGTGGAACTGGAGAGGGACCCCTGGGATCTCCTGTGGCTGTCAAAGGAGATCTGATTGGACTACATGCCCCTGCATGCGAGGGACCAGAGGCAAGATGCTGACCCTTTGCTCAGATGTCAGCCTGGCGGCCTAGCTGGACAGTGTGCAAGGAAGCAACTGAGCCAGGGGCTGGGGCGTGGGCGGTGGTCTTGGCTGAAGCTGCATCAGGCCTGGTGCAGACAGGGTCCCACAGCAGCAGTGCTGTGCTGGTTCAAGCCAGGTCATGAATGAGCCAGGGGTTAAGGCTGGGTAGGGGTAGGTACTAGGATAGAGCAGGGTAAGGTGGAGCCTGGGGCTAGCCCAGAGCTGGAACCAGGGTCAGATTATCAAACCTTCAAAGGAACAGCTGAAGTCTGGCCAGCCTAGGATGTCCCCTTGCTGCATGTTGTCAGTCACCAGCCAGTTCAGTAGGGGTATGAAGTAGGTCATGAGGGCCTTTATACACACCTCAGACTCCCCAGTCAGCATCTTTAGGACCTCTGGCCATGGCTTGCTTGAGCCCAGCTTTAGAGCATCCCTGGGGGAGTGGATGCAGCTGTGAGGCTGTGTGGGGGCATCAGCTGGTGCTGCTGAGGCCCCCAGTGCACCCAATCCTGGCCCCAGCGATTGGCCAGCCAGAACTTTCCCACAGAATTCGGCATAGTGGATACAATCACAAGTTTGAAAGAAGACTAATCTGGGTTTGAATCTCAGCTCTGCTATTTAGTAGCTGTGGGGCTTTGGGCAAGTAACCTTTCTGAGCCTGGGTTTCCATATCCATAAAATGGAGATGATAATGTTATCTACCTCGAAGGGCCATTGTGGTGATTAAATAAGCCCGGTGCTGGGGAGCGTAGCATGCAGGCAATACTTGTTAACTACTGATGATGATGATGATTACTAGTACTACTGGTAATACTGTGATGATTATTATTCTCCTGGACTCAAATAGGCATAAAGTCCTGAGACACTGTTACCCGTGAGGTGCTCGATGTCAGTAGATAGTGGCAGCTCTTCACCCCTTTCTGGTTTCGGGAGGGTTTGGGAGGATTAGAAACATCATGAGCGTGGGAGGTGCTCTGCACACCACCTGTAGTGCTGCACAAATGTCAGCTGTGT